TTATAGTTTTGGATCTTACATTTAGGTCTTTAATCTATTTTGTTTTTTTTTTTTTTTTTTGAAGATTTTTTATTTTATTTATTTTTCCCCCCCAAAGCCCCAGTAGATAGTTGTATGTCATAGCTGCACATCCTTCTAGTTGCTGTTTGTGGGACACGGCCTCAGCATGGCCGGAGAAGCGGTGCGTCGGTGCGCGCCCGGAATCCGAACCCGGGCCACCAGCAGCGGAGCGCACGCACTTAACCGCTAAGCCACGGGGCCGGCCCTCTTTAATCTATTTTGAGTTAATTTTTTGTGTATGGTGTAAGATAAGGGTCCAACTTTATTCGTTTGCGTGTGGATATCCAGTTTTCCCAGCACCATTTGTTGAAGAGACTGTCGTTTCTCCATTGAGTGACCTTGGCACCCTTGTCGAAGATCATGTGACCATATGTGGGAGCCTTTATTTCTGGGCCGTTTACCTGTCCTTGATTACCACCTTCTCTTATTCCCCTCAGTCACTGTTTTAGAACTTCACTGCTCATCTCAAACTCTTCACATGTTTTACTCAGCAAACTACCTTGCCTTTTTATTGGTAAAACTGAGGCCATTGGCAGTGAACCACCAGGCCCTGATCATTCTTCTGTCATCCATATATTTCCTCTTCAGGGTACCTCCCCGGCACCTCTTCTTTCTTGGTCTCATCCTTCTAGTTTTCTGAGCCCTTATTTCCCCTTTTTCTCTCTTTTATTTTCAACTTCTCAACTGGCTGTTTTTCCTTAGCATAAAAACACATCCGTGCTCTTGTTCATCCTAAATAACTGTTCACATCTATATCACATCATTGCTCTATCTTCCCTCACTTTGTCAGTCTTTGAAAATTATTTAGCAGTATTGGCTCCCTAATAGAGGAAATAGTGTGATGTACAAACGGAAAAAAATATATTTAACCGTCTTGTTGTCTACTTTATGCCTTTCTATATTTTTAAATTAAAAAATTTTAAACTTGTACCGTGTATTACTTTTATGATTTAAAAAATAATCTGCTTATTTGCATCTTCTTTGGTGAGGATTAGGAAGTGTGGTAAGAGAAAGGAGTTTTTATATTAAGATGCCGTAACATATAAGAATTAGGTGATGTTTCTAAGTGGCATTTCAGATCATTGGAGCAAAGATGGATTCTTTAATAGGTGTTGCTTGAACAATTGACGATTGTTTAATGATTTATAAAAAAGTAGGGCTCTAGCCTACATTATTTTACCAAAATAAGTTTCAGACTTAAAAGTAATTTTAGAGAAGCTGAGAGAAAATACAGGTGAATATTTCATGTACCTCAAATGAGAAAGACCTTTTTTATATCATATAATCTGAAAAAGTAAACAGCAAAGATTGTTTTTACTGTGTAACAATTGAGGTCTTATTTCACAAACACATTAAACACTGAGACAAATGACAACCTGGGAAAGCTGTTTGCAAAAAACCCTCAAATATCAGTATGGTTAAGAACCCTTAAAAATTAGCGGGACAGTCTTTTCTCTGCTCTCTCAAAATTGGCAATGGCTAAAGTATATTAATAGAGAATTTATACTATAAATAGTACAGTGTGAATATTAAAAAATGGTCTTTTTAATTAGAGAAATGTCACATTGACTCAGTGGTATCTCTTTTGCCTACCAAATTAGCAGTGATTGAAGAAATGGAAAACAATTTTGAAGACTATATACTCTGATTTAGGTATTCAAATACTGAATGAGGAAATAAATTGATATAATTTTCATGGTGGAGAATTGCTAATATAGCAGGCACTTTAAGTATTTTATATTCTGTGAACTAGTTATTTAACTTCTAGTAATTTATTTAACTTCTAGAAATTTGTGATAAGGAAATAATCAATGTATACACAAAATTTGTGTTTTTCATTAAATATTGAACACATATCATTTACCAGGTAATGTTCTCAGTTCCACAGTGGTGATCAGGCCACAGGGGCCCTATCCTAGTGGAGCCTACAGTTTTGAACGATAGACAAACACCCATAAAACAATATAAATGATAATGACTTGTATACATGCAGTGAAGGAAATAAACAGGATGTGATAGATAATGAAGAAGGCATACTTCAGTCAGGGAAGGTAGTGGGGGAGCTGCTATCCAGAACCATCTGAAATGCCACCGTGCTGCTGTGTTGTCCTGCCTAGATGGGATTCTTAGAAGCATTCAGTCAGAACCTCAATGATGTTAGCTTTGATTTAGTTGCTCCTCAGGCAAGTTCATGCACCAGTTGTCTGAACTGTGGTTCCTCTTGTACTGAGCAGGATTAATATGGAAACAACCCATCATCATTAGAGTAAAACCAACCTGTCTCATGAAGATCTAAACCCACCTCACGTTGAGTAAAGATCTAAACCCAGCTCTATTAGTGAGTGAACCATCCAGTGACAGGTGAATTCTCTTTCACAAGCATAGGAGAAAGTGACATCAAGGACCAAAAAGTGAGGTCTCTGAACGCTTGGCCTCCCAAAGCCAATATGGTAACTTTTCTGACACCTCCTGCTTAAAACTAAAAAGGTCAGAGGCCCTACTTGCGGGGTCTGTATTTCTACTGAAAATCTGGATAAAGTGATTTCCCTTCTGTTTCACTGGAGTTTTCTCTTTTTACTCAGCTTGATTTAGGATACCTGTGTTACGCTTTTGACAAGTATGCGGGACCCAGCCCTGCCTCCCCAAGGTGTGGAGGGGAGGTGAGAGGGAGATGAGTGGCACTGGGGGCCTCTCAGTTATTCAACACTTCTCAGTCTCTTCACTGTGCCAGACTAGAGTCATGCTCAACAGAGTCTTTGTCAGCTGATCTCTCAAGCTCATTGCCCCTTAGCTGTGGTTTTGCTAGGATAGTGAGAATCTTGTTCATTTGTGCACGTCTCTAATTTTAGATGATGAGGCATTTGTCTACCTTAAGAGAATTAGTTAGTCTGGCGTTTACCTGCCTTCATTGAGTTTTTCCACTCTGACATTGAAAGCACTGGACAGAAATCACATCACATCAATACCTGCTATGGCCTTTGTTTAAGTTAAATAGTCAGACCCCTCAGGCCCACCCCTGTTGGAGAGATACATTCTGGTTTTAGTCACTGGCAAAACCATAGTATGTAAGGGCCAGATGAAGTAAAGTTGGAGCTAGGCAGGTGCCATGTCATGCTAGTCTGGTGAGAAATTTGGGTATTTTCAAAGTCTGATGGAAGACTTTTAAATTTTAAGCAAAGGCATGGCATAGTTTGTCTTATATTTTAAAATGATACCCCTTTGGTGAGTGAATTAGATGGGAGGAAAAGTATACAGAGGGAAGCAGGAAGGAATTAGCCTTTTTGGTAGCTCCAGAGAGAGATCATAGCAGGCTTGGGCTTTGGTAGTAGCAAGAGATGGAGAAAAATGGATGGATTGAGATAACATAGAAGTTAGAACTGACGGGTCTTGTTGATGATATTTTGCGCATAAGTTTAGAGCTCAGAGAAATGAGAGCCAAAGGTATATATTTGAGAGTCAACATATTGTCAGTTGTCATAGGTGAAATCCAGTGTATGTCACAGATGAGATATCCTGAGATAGAAGAGGTCTTAGGACCTATTCTTGGAGAAGTCCCTGTGAGGAGGAGCCAGTGAAGGAGTTGAAGGAATGGCTACTAGGGTAGAAGTCAAACTAAGGAGAGTATGGTATCTTTGAAATCATGAGAAGAGTATTTTAAGAAGATAGTTGTGATTTAAGAGTATTTTCTACAGGTTTCATAAGAAGGAAAAGTTGAAACTTTATATAGTAAACAATGGGGATTAGTTAAATTATTGTAGTCCATCTGCTGCCTAGTCTGCCCTAGATAATCACTTCTCACTTTATTCAGTTTTCTGATCAAATATCCTCTTAATGAGATCTTTCCTGACAGCCCTGTCTCTCTCTTATCTTATAGAATCTATAATGCCATTGTTTGTGCTCCACCACCAGTACCAACTAAGAAAGAAGAAACACTGCCAACTAAATAGGCAGTGTTAGGATACTTGTGATTTGTGAGATGAATACTGATTTTAGCTTAGTTAAAATGTGATGCTCTGTAAATAATTGGTGAAATACTGTAAAATAGCACTCTGTCTGCTCCCATATAGATAACTATTTGCTTGTCACTACTAAAATTCAGGCTTCGTGAAGGCGGAGACTTTTTGTTTACTGCTGATTCTCCAGTGCCCGGAAGAGCGCGTGGTAAATAGTAGGCACAGTGAACAAATCCTAAATCTGCATTTTTTAGGAATAAAATGAATAAATTAAAACATACTGCTCTGTAGACTGCTTTTTCACTTAATATTGATTTTTTTCTCTGTCCTTGTATAGTTCTCAAAAATAAGATGTTTGATGGCTGGGTACTCTTATCACATGTATATGACATTATCTGGTGTGTCCCGGCATTCTGGACTTTGGAACTTATGGAAATAAAAGAGCCAGGGTGTGGATGTGGGTTATTACCTGAAGAGTTCAGTTTTTATTTCTGCCTTGAGTGTGAAATACTGATCTGTAGAGAGAACAGTACCTGGACTAGGGAATCCCCAGTGCCTTAGTGGGTCTGAAGTACTTGCATTTTCCTCTGCATAAAGGCTTACACATGGCAGGAGAAGAGAGGTTTCTGGTATACTTCTCCTCCCCTAGAAAAATGAGTTTCTGTCTGTTTACTTATCTGTAAAGTGAGAGAGTGGCACCACATGATTTCTGAGGCCTCTTGCTGATACCAATTAATTTCTGATGTCATCTTGTCTTGCTGTTCTTAAAATTATTTTTTGTTTTATGGTGAGAATTGTAAAACATAGAATCATGACTTTTAGAACATATGTGCATTTCTGCAGGGTTTTTGTTTTTGTTTTTTACCATTTACATGAACAAAAATCGATTATATTGATATTAATCTTGTTAGGACAGATTTTTAGTTCTTGTGAAACATTTGATAAATTTAAAATATGAAAAATAAAAGAACTCTTTTTTTTTTTTAGAAGTCAATGAAAGGATTCTATTTTGCAAAGCTGTATTATGAAGCTAAAGAATACGATCTTGCTAAAAAGTAAGTACCAAACAGTAAACATGCTTTAGTTTTCTGAAATCAGTGCCTTTACCTCATGTTCTTCTTTGAAATAGGTAAAATATATTTTTTTCGCAGCAGTTCTTCCTCAGTACAGTATGTCCTGGAAATAAGGGATTCATCACTCAGACTCATGTTAAGGAATAGCCTAGATTCCATGGAGATTGAGCCTAGAATGAGTATTTTCTGCATGCCTGCTGCTTGTTTATACGTAGAAATCGTTTGGCTTAAAACGCTTTTCCTAAAGATTGTTCTGGATTAGAATAAAGGAGAACCATGCTTATATCTTAATTTCTTCCTGGTGAGATATCTTGTACTTCAATCAGCTGGAAAATAGCAGTGCATACAAAATTAAACTGTGATTCCTGGGCGGGAGAATAGCTTGTGTAAAAAGATCTTTAATTAACTCAATAGGTGACACTGAGGCTTTGTCTTGTCCGAGAAGGTTGGTGATCTGATTTCCTGATTTGGAGTGGCTTAAGGCAGGAAATTAGGAGAGAGGCAGGTTATTAAAGGCATTGATGGGAAGATGGAAATGCTGATAAGTAAGGAAAATGGTAGCACCTTTATTTAACTAGCACCATTGGGGCTGTTAACCCTTCTTCCTTATTAACACGATACTTTTCCTCCAATTTTGGTCTTTGGTCTGATTTCTCTAATGATAACACTCAGTAAGCCTAGAAGATGCTTACTTATTTTTAGTTGTTACTTGATTTAAGAAATGGAAATTACCTGCATGTGGGTAGTGTATTTAGTAATTTTTCGTCTGCTCTATTTAGCTAGGTACGGTACTGTTAGATACCGTTTTCTTGTTAAAAGGTAAATATATTCTCTTAGTTGTTATTTGGGAAATTGGTGCTCTTTAGTGTTTTGCATTATGATAACTTTAAAAATATTTACTATAATCACTTTCTAATTTCTATGCAAAACCCTTTAGTGGTTTACCACAATGTAATCAGGAAGAAAAAGCAATTTATGTGTTCATTTCTTATATGTGGGTAGCACTGGAAAAAGCATTTGGTAAATGTAGTGTTTAATGGGAAAATGAGTATGTTGTCAACATTGTATATGTGTTTGTATTTTAAGTATTCATTTCTTTCTGTGGATACTTTTGAGTTATCTGCATATTCTAGTTTAAATAGTGGTAATCATGGGCTGGCCCCGTGGCCTAGTGGTTAAGTTTGATGTACTCTGCTTTGGCGGCCTGGGTTCAGATCCTGGGTGTGGACCTACACCACTTGTTGGTGGCTGTGCTGTGGCGGCATCCCACGTTCAAGATAGAGGAAGAATGGCATAGATGTTAGCTCAGGGCAAATCTTCCTCAAGCCAAAAATAGGAAGATTGGCAATAGATGTTAGTTCATGGTGAATCTTGCTCAGCAAAATAAGTAAATAAATAAATAGTGGTAGTCAATAATTAGAATAACAATATAAATTAGTTTAGTGGTTGCTTTGGTTTAAGATGAACTCTTTAGTTAGCATTTAAATACAGTTTTAAATGTGATAATTTAAAGATTATTTATTTTTATATTATTATTTTTGAACAGATACGTATCTACATATATTAATGTGCAAGAAAGGGATCCCAAAGCTCACAGATTTCTTGGTCTTCTTTATGAAGTGGAGGAAAACATAGACAAAGCTGTTGAATGTTATAAGGTAAACTGTATAAGATTAAAGTATAGCCTTTGCACAGCCAAACACACATGATGTGCAGAGTAATTTATGTAATAAATAATTTAAATATATTTTATGGATATCATGAAAACAAACATTGGTATCATAGTACTATTATGTGACACAGCTTGGAACTGATTTTAAATTATTTGGCCCAGAGTACACTATAACTCATCATTAAGAGGTTAGCACTTGTAAAAGAAGATTAACCTCTATAAATTTTAAGTCTAACATGGTCAGAAACGGTGTTCTTATGGGTCTGGGTTTTTTTTTTTTTTTTTTTGGCATTTACCTAATAAAAACATAGTTTTTATTTAATTCATCTTCAAAAAAATTCCAAGGCACTTTAAGTTTAATTTTAACAACTTTGAAATAACATGTTGTCATTTAGGAATAGAATTTTTAAAAGGGGCAGTGATAAGTTTTTAACTTTTCTATGTGACTGTATGGACTTTAATAATCTTGCTAATTGGTTATTTCTTTTCTGATATCAGCGTTCAGTGGAATTAAACCCAACACAAAAGGATCTTGTGTTGAAGATTGCAGAATTGCTTTGTAAAAATGACGTTACTGATGGAAGAGCAAAGTATTGGGTTGAAAGAGCAGCTAAACTTTTCCCAGGAAGTCCTGCAATTTATAAACTAAAGGTAAAAAACTAAACAAGACATATAATAAAAGAAGGTGGGGAAAACTTAAGACAGCTATTTCTAATATTTGAAGTTGAAATGAGTTTTCAGTAGCAAACCTTAAACCAGTGTTTGTGGGGGTGGGGAGTCAGTGGGAAATGGGTAAAGGTGGTCAAAAAGTACAAACTTCTAGTTATAAGAAAAATTCTGGGAATGTAATGTATGGCATGGTGGCTATTAACAGTACTATATTGTATATTTGAAAGTTGCCAAGAGAGTAAATCTTAAAAGTTGTCATCACAAGAAAAAATTATTTGTAACTGTTGAGGTGATGAATATTAACTTCTTATGGAAATCATTTCACAATATATGCATGTATCAAAACACATGTACACCTTAAACTAGTGCAATGTTATATGTCAATTACACCTATAAAAAAGAATGACAAATGACAAATCAAAATTTTTTTCTTCAAAACCTTTCTGAGCATATGTTGTCTTATTAGGCCGTATTATACTTTACAAATGGTATCTCATTTACCCTTATGGAATCATTAATATTTTTGTAGCTAGATGGTGGAGCAAAGATTTAAGTTGAGCTCTGATATAAAATTTTTGCTTCATTGAGTGAAAACTACCCATAGGATGACATTTTAGCGTTATTATAAAGCTTTTTAAGAACAGTTTTCTAAAAATGGAAAGGACTGTGTTTGAGATAGTGGGGTTTTCAAGCAAAAATTAAAAGACAGTTTCTCCTGTAAGTTACAGGTAATTACTAAAAGCAGTAGGAAGTTGTTGCTAATGTATTAACGGATTCTGATTGTTATTCTTTACTGAGTAAAATGTAGTTTACTAAGTAACCCTTTTAGAGAAAGTCTTTCCAAATGTGCTAGGCAAACAGAATTTTAAGTGTATATTGTTTTTAACAGCCCCCCCCCCCATTATACATGTTTATCATAGAATTTTTTTAGCTCTTTATTTTGAAATAATTATAGATTTCTCACAGAAAGTTGCAAAGATTGTACAGAGAGGTCCTGTGTATACTTCATCCAGCTTTCCCCAGTGGTTACATCTTATGTAACTATGGTACAATATCAAAATCCGGAATTTGACATTGGTACAATGTGTGTGTATGGTTCTTTTTCATTTTATCACATGTACAGATTTGTGTAACCACCACTGCACTCACGGTGCAGAATTACTTCATCACCACGAAGATCTCCCTCACGCTACCTGCCCCTTTGTAGTCATATCTACCCCCTTTCCCATCATTCTTAACCTCTGGCAACTGTTAATTTGTTCTCCATCTTTATAATTTTGTAATTTCCAAATGTTATATAAATGGAATCATGCAGTATGTGACCTTGTGAGGTTGGCTTTTTTCTTTTTCTTTTTTTTTTTTTTTTTGTTTGTGAGGAAGATCAGCCCTGAGCTAACATCTGTGCTAATCCTCCTCTTTTTGCTGAGGAAGACCAGCTCTGAGCTAACATCTATTGAGGTTGGCTTTTTTCATTCAGCATAATGGCCTTGAGATCATCTGAGTTGTCTGTATCAGTAGTTTGTTCTTTTTATTGCTGAGTAGTATTTCATGATATGGATGTGATCTACAGTTTAACCATTTACTTTTGAGGGACATTTTGGTTGTTTCCAGTTTTTGGCTATTATAAATCTAGTGTGAACAATTGTGCACAGATTTTCCAATCTAAAGTATTTTAAAAACTCCTAGAGGTAAATACTAACATTAAGTTAACACTAAGTTTTTTTCTCCCTGTGATAAGCAGCTGGGTTTTAAATATTAATCTAAAATATTTGGTGTAAGTGTGCAGATTTCTTTATCTTATTGTTGTTGTATGCCTCAATCATAATTCTTTATTGGTCATGACAAATGGTCTAGTCCATTTGGTGACACTAACATTAAGGAACATAATAAGGGTAGGGGATTATTTTTCTTGCAGTGTAATAAAAGAGAGATGCCTCTGAAGCATCCTGATTTTCTTTAATAACTCTTTAAAGCTAAACCTTTCTTATATCAGATTTTTTTCCCATTTTTTGGAATTGAAATCCATGAAATTTGTAACTGTTTAGCAGAGTAATTCTATTTCTCCTGAAATTTAAGGCTTAAGGTAAATAGTTTTTTGGCATTTGTTTCATGAGTGAAAATGTTATTGGTGAGAGGGCTTTTTCTCTTGAGTACGACAGTAGAATTTTTGAATAGCATACATAATGGTGTTGATCTTTTACTTACTTATTTATTTTTCTGAGGGAGATTAGCCCTGAGCTTACATCTGTGGCAATCTTTTCTACTTTATATGTCGTTTGCCACCACAATGTGGCCTACAATGGTGTCGGTCTGCGCCTGGGATCCAAACCTGTGAACCTGGGCTGCTGAAGCGGAACGCACTGACCCTAACCACTACGCCGTGGGGCCAGCCCCTACTTATTTTTAAACATAATCGAAGTCTGGGGCTTTTTTGCAGATATAGAAAGGCCAGGTGTAAGTTTATAGAAATGATCCAGAAGAAGGTGAGAGGGCGATGAAAACAGATCACTAATGGAGAGCTTGGTCATTGCTAGGTGGAGGGAGCAGGGAGATGAGTACAAGTAGGTAAGGTAAAGTGGAATTTACATATGATGACTTCCATTTTCTTAGTGAAGGATGAATTGTGATATAAGTTGAAAAGTGAAGATTGAAGGAAAGTGTGGGAAATTTGAGGCAAGAGTAGGAGTATGAAGTGACCTTTTCAGGGAATGGAGAAAGCGAGTCTGTTAGAGGTAAAATAGGGTTTTGTTCTAGGCATTACCAGTTTGGAGGTTTGAGATTATGAAAGGGAATCAGTTAGCCTGATTGTGATTTCCCAAATTCACTACCCCCAGTTGTTCAGCTGTTAGTGTATAGGCACAAAGTAAGCAGATGGTAGAGTTCTTCTAAGGAGAAGTAGAGTAGGGAATTAATTGAGAGGATCTTTAAGCAAGCAGTAATTATGGATGTTAGGGATTATGACATTTTATTTATTTTTATTTTTATGTTTTTTGTGAGGAAGATCAGCCCTGAGCTAACATCAATGCCAATCCTCTTGTTTTTTTTTTTCTTTCCTGAGAAAGACTGGCCCTGGGCTAACATCCATGCTGATCTTCCTCCACTTTATATGGGGACGCCTCCCCAGCATGGCCTGACAAGCAGTGCATCAGTGCACGCCCGGGATCCGAACCCGGGCCGCCAGCAGCGGAGCATGTGCACTTAACCACTATGCCATGGGGCTGGCCCGGGATAATGACATTTAGCTTGACACAGAAGGAAAGTGTGTCTGTGATTTATGGAAAATTAAAACTTGTTGATGTCAGTGTATTGAAGGGAGCTTTTCATGTGGTAGAGGCAAATATATGTGGCAGTCAGGGCATATGAGCCCGCAGTGAGGTGGAAGAATAGGAGGGGTGTGGTGGTCTGAGTGGTATGGCCAAAATACAGATTTTGAAGACCCATGTCAATGCCAAATGGGTGGCTGAGGCTGGAGTGTAGAACAATGCCATAAAAGTGAAGTAATTAAAGAACTTAGTAGCCAGGCTATTGTATATCTTGTACATATCTTGTTGCTAATGCCAGTGAGAGTTGTTAGGGATAAAGGAAGAATGTTCTATTCCTGTTTCTAATGCGGAGGAATGGATGCAGTAGTTGGATAGCATTTCTTTTAGAAAACAGGATTATAAACAGATGTGGGGGAAGAGATATGATTTGGAGGTGACATTGGGAGTGAGTAGGTCACAAACCCCACTTCCTCTACTTGTATGTAGGCTAGCAGAGAAAAAGATACCATGGCCGAGAAGTAATGTAGGTTAACTCTAGATGATACTCTGTTCATTTGAGGCCAGAAGGTGAAGTGAAGATTCTGGGAAGATAGCAGAACAGCAGGAACTCCAAAGTGGGAGCAGAGCGGGTAGGGAATTCAGTCAGATTTAGGGAGATCTAGAGAAGTTTGAGGATAAGGATCCTGATATGAAGATTGACTGGAGAGGCCTAGGCTTCTAATAGTGACTGGGGTGTACAGGGATGTGGGGCAGTAGTCTTGGTTGTCTCTGAGGCGGGGTTGTGCAGCCACTGCTACTGTATAATCCCAGATGTTTCTCTCTACATAAATTTCTTGGGGTTTAGCTGCTGGGCTGGAAGCAGCTCCCTGAAGGGGCTAATGAAGTATGTAGTATGGTACTTCTGGTGGTAATTTACTAAAGCTAGACAGAGTAAAATGGTGCTCATGCGAACCATGACGTGTTTAAAATTGCACAGGCATTTCTCTAAATTAACGATTTTTTTTTAATAGGAACAGCTTTTAGATTGTAAAGGTGAAGATGGATGGAATAAACTTTTTGACTTGATTCAGTCAGAACTTTATGCAAGACCTGATGATGTCCATGTGAACATCCGACTAGTAGAGCTGTATCGCTCAAATAAAAGATTGAAGGATGCTGTGGCCCACTGCCATGAGGCAGAGAGAAACATAGCTTTGCGTTCAAGTTTAGAATGGAATTCGTGTGTTGTACAGACCCTTAAGGTAGGCAAAAGTTGTTGGGTCTCTCTACACTTCCATATAGACAATTACTATACATCCCTTTGTAATTAAGCAGTGCCCTCCAAAACTTGAATTTCTTTCATTTATGTACAACAACTGTGAAATGAAGTTTTTACTAGGATGATTTTAATTTATAATAGGTAGATTGGAGAGATAAATAAGACCAATACATATATTTTTGGTGTTTTTACAGACTGATGTAAAAATCAATATGGTTTTACAATATAGGAATGGGCAGAGGAATTTGTAGGCATAAAATGATCAATTTTGTACATTTGATAAAATTTTTTAACTTGGTATTCTTTCTATGACATAGGAATATCTGGAATCTTTACAGTGTTTGGAGTCTGATAAAAGTAACTGGCGAACAACCAATAAAGACTTACTTCTGGCCTATGCTAACCTTATGCTTCTTACACTCTCTGCTAGAGATGTGCAAGAAAGTAGAGAATTATTGGAAAGGTATGTTGACTTAAAGAAATTACATCAGTGTAAATTACAAATTTTCTTTTCATAGAATTTCGAACTTTAATTCAGTTCATTGGTCAAAACATTTTTACTGTGTCTTTATTTCTGTAATGTACCCAGGGGTAAATAGTTAATACAGTGAACCACTTGGAAGGAATCGTTCTTCTTTTGTGGTGATATTATGATTGGTTTTGTATGAGTTTGATTTTTAGAGGACTATATTATTGTTTAGGCTTGATTAAATTGTTTTTGTAGTTAAGTATCCAGTTCTGGCATGCTTAATAGAGAGTCAAGCCTGAAAATGAATGTTCTAACTGCTATTCCATGTTTTGTTTCAAAAAATGATATAATCTTGAGGGAAAATCAGAGAATAAACTTCATCTGTCAGATGTTCTAGTATAAGCTGTTAACATCACTACTATTACAGGAAACTCTTAATGTTTTAGCTTCAAAACAAGATAACTAAAGTATAATGTGTGATTTTTCTGTTTTCCTAAATTTTGATTTTGAGGCCCAGTATCTCCACTTTATTAGATAAATTCCATTGAACAAAAACATCACTTGGATTTGTATAAGGATGTTACTTTAGAGCAGGGGTTGACGAGAGCTTATGGGGCAACTGTGGCTTACCTCCTGATTTTGTGAATAGAGTTTCACTGGAATACAGCCATGCCTTTTTGTTACGTATTATCTGTGGCTGCTTACACCCTACAGTGGTGAAGTTGAGCAGTTGTCACAGAGATTGTATACACGCAAAGCCAAATTAGTATGTGGTCTTTTATAGGATAAGTTTGCCAGTCCCTGGTTTAGATTATCTGTTTGTTTGAAAAGTAATTCTTGTCCTCCATCTGGCTTATGGAGAGAAGTTCTTTTCATTATAGGGGTAGATAGTTTTCTTGAAGAAAGACTTAATATTCTAAGTAGGGTAGGTGGTGTCCAAAAAAACTAATTTGAACTTTTAGATTATTTTAGAAAATATTTAGGATATTTTCTTTTGTACGGCTTATATATTCAGAAATTTTTGGTCAAGTGAGAAAATGAAGGTGAAAAAGACAATTTCTTAGTAGTACTATAAAAATAATTTTAACTTTGTGGATCCCTTGAAAGGATCTTGAAAACCTCTAGGCGTCCTAGAAAAAATACCCGTTGCTCAGATTTCTTATTATAACTTACTTTAAAATCATGTTTCACATTTCTGTTAAGTGTTTGCTTTTGTTTTTCTTGCAAAATGAAGATTCTGAGGACCATTAGAATTTAGAAGCAGTAATGAGTACATGGATTACAAATAATAGTGAGAAATACAATTTAGTTAACTCTACTTATCTATATAGTAAGAAGAGCAATTATCGTGCTGAAAAATCCAAATATCAGTTATTATATTTTGAAAATGACATGTCTAATCTGAGAAATTCCAACTTTGAATTAAGTACTGAAACCATATGATTGAGAAGAAACTAGAAAATATTTTAGTTTCCCAGTCTGATTCTGGTCTATTATGAAACATACATCATCATTGGTAATCTTATTATTTGATTTGTATCTTTTCTGTGATTGGAGGGCTGGAAATAACTGTTTTGGAGTAAGACATCATTCTAGACGTTAAGCTTGAAGTATAGGAAGTATGTGGAATAAAAATAAGTACTAGATGATTCCTAATTTATAAAACAGAGAATAAGGCTTATAAAGAGTTAGAATGTAGAAGATGAAGCTTGAAATAAATTCCTTTATTAATTTTACTTTAACTTAAATAATGGAACCATGATTATTCACAAGGCAATAGGTTTAATACCTGTTTAATATTTTAATATTATAGTTTTGATAGTGCTCTACAGTCTGTGAAATCTTCCGTGGGAGGAACTGATGAGCTCTCAGCTACTTTCTTAGAAATAAAAGGACATTTCTACATGCATGCTGGTTCTCTGCTTTTGAAGATGAGTCAGCATAGTGATGTGCAATGGCGAGCTCTCTCTGAACTGGCTGCATTGTGCTATCTCATAGCGTTTCAGGTAAGCCTTTTCCCATTCTGGGTCCAATTGATATTTCACTGAAACTTTGTTGTATTTCACTTGGAGGTGTGTCCTGGTATATAAAGAAAATATGAATAAAGCTGTAGAATTAAAGTTAAAATGAAATAGTTAAAATTTAAGATTTATATGGTACTGATGAGGCTGGTGAAACAGGTACATATATGCGTTGCTGGTGGCATTCTACATTGCTATGACTTATTGGAAGACCAGTTTCAAGAGTTTGGTCTTTTTACTCTGCCGTTTCTGGGAACCTGTTTAAGGAAATAATCTCAAATAGGCATAAAACTTGATTCAAAAAGATATGCGTATTTGGACAAAAACCTAAATAAGTGAATTTTCGGGTCTGGTTACATAAACTATGATAGAAGAATGTATTTACCACAAGCATTTTAACATGTTAATTGAAAGACATATGTATGTTATGTGTATGTAACATTAATGACAGTATATTATATATAATATATGGCAGTATATTTATTCATCTTTGGAAAATAAAACCTTTCCTTATACATAGAACATGACCTGAAGGAAATATGCCAAAATGCTAACCATTATTTTTACATGATATGCTGGGTATTATCCCTTCACCAATCCATTTTTGTAGTTTTAATGTTCTCTTTAGTGAGCTTGCATTAATTCTAAAATGGAAAGAAAGAAATATTCTGCCAAAAAATGCATTAAACCCAGCTTGTTAAATAATTATTTATTTTAATATTATTATAATTATTTAGAAATATTAATTAAATATTAAATAATTATTAAAATTATTGTTAGTTCTAGAGAGCAATCTTATGCTTGGGGGAAAGAAAAAAGGATTCACTCTAGAATTACTTTTAGATAGGCTCCTCCTTCTAGTTCATATTATATAGATCTTTAAGAAAACACTGTTGAGGGGGGCCAGCCCAGTGGCCTAGCAGTTAAGTGCGTGTGCTCCACTTTAGTGGCCCGGGGTTTGTAGGTTTGGATCCTGGGCACGCACCAACGCACCGCTTGTCAAGACATGCTGTGGTGGTGTCCCATATAAAGTAGAGGAAGATGGGCAGGGTTGTTAGCCCAGGGCCAATCTTCCTCGGCAAGAAAGAGGAGGATTGGTATCGGATGTTAGCTCAGGGCTGATCTTCCTCACACACACAAAAAAGAAAACAAACCACTGTTGATATTCATACCCACAGTGTTAAATGCTGCCATTTGCTTAGCAAAAGCATTTGGGTTCATGAGGAATATATTTGTTAGTGAAGTTAATGAAGTATGTTAATTTACATAAGCACTAAAAAGTTCTTATGATTAATATTTTTATACAATCCTCAAGTAACTGATAGTTTTCTTATTTTTAATGGACACTAAAATCTATTAAATTTTCTTTAATATATAATTTTATTGAGGTCATAATAGTTTATAACGTGAAATTTCAGTTGTACATTATTATTTGTCAGTCACCATATATATATGTGCTGCTTTACCCTTTATGCCCACCCCAAAGACCCTTCCCCTTGAGTAACCACTGATCTGTTCTCTTTGTCCATGTGTTTGTTTATCTTCTGCGTTGGAGTGAAATCACGAGGTGTTTGTCTTTCTCTGTCTGGCTTATTTCGCTTAACATAATAACCTCAAGGTCCATCCATGTTATTGCAAATGGGACGATTTTGTCTCTTTTTTTATGGCTGAATAGTATTCCATTGTGTGTGTGTGTGTGTGTGTATGTATATATATATATACACACCACATCTTCTTTATCCATTCATCAGTTGACAGGCACTTGAGTTGCTTCCACATCTTGACTATTGTGAATAATGCTGCAGTGAACATAAGGGTGCACAAGTCTCTTTGAATTGTTGACTTCAAGTTCTGTAGCTAAATACCCAGTAGTGGGATAGCTGGGTCGTATGGTATTTCTATTTTTAATTTTTTGAGAAATCTCCATACTGTTTTCCATAGTGGCTGCACCAGTTTGCATTCCCACCAGCAGTGTATGAGGGTTCCCTTTTCTGCACATCCTCTCCTACATTTGTTGTTTTTTGTTTTAATAATTACAGCCGTTTTAACAGATGTAAGGTGATAACTCATTGTAGTTTTGACTTGCATTTCCCTAATGATTAGTGATGTTGAGCATCTTTTCATGTGCCTGTTGGCCATCTGTATATCTTCTTTGGCAAAATGTCTGTTCATATCCTCTGCCCATTTTTTTTTTTTTT